TATTTAGCATTCTTTGATTTCAATAGGCATTTATTTACTTTAATAAAAATCCTTATTTTTTTATTAAAAATTTAAATCCTTATTGAACACTGATTATTAATTAAATATAAATTACTTGTTTCTTTGTTATGAGTTACGTTGAGCAATTTACATATATTGCTGTTTAATTAACAAACATAAACAATTAGTAAAAAGGCAAATTAATTATATGAACATTATTTACGTAAAAATTTTATTGTCATATGTATAAAATTTTTTCGAATAAATTAAAAATATAAATATTATGCAAATTAAACTATTTTCTATAGACATTTTTATCTGTTTAAGATAACATTTTATTCGTACTAAATCTTACTCTCGATTTTTATTTAACCAATTTTTTTTCTCTCTCCAATTAAATCCTTTAAAAAAAATAAATATATTTTTTTTTTTTACGTATCTCCATTTTTGAAAAGAAAAATATCTCAAAAAAAATTCAATAAATTTTTTTTTTTTTTTTTCGCGTGTGCACAACCAATTACGTATTCTTCATATATCTAGTCCTTTTTATTACCAAAAAGGTTAATGAAGCCTTTTATTAACCAACCATAGAAATTGAAAGTGAGAAAGGACGATATACGAATGCTTAACAAACAGTAGAAATTAACGGACATAACGTCAATGTATTACTAGATAAAGGAGCATATTTATGTAGTGTATCAACAGTTTCAGCTAAAGAACTAGGTATACAAGCAGATACCTCAATAAAACTAATCACGTTTTGTGGAATATATAGCGTAGATATTGCAATGAAATCTAAAAAGGTGAAAATATTTATGAAATTTACCAATATGCAGGTATTAACCAGATTTGCAATAATAAAAATAGATAAACCCCTGATATTACTTAACGGTTTAGTAATGAAGAATTAGGATATTCCATCGTAAAAAAAAAAGATCAACATATGTATATTATGGAAGTTAAACCCGAAGTAAGGGATGATGAATTAGAGAATTCGAATAAAGAATTTATTCAGAATTATATTGAGCGATCCGACTTAAAAGATCAGAAAAATAAAGAAGAATTGGAAAAAGTATTAAGAAATAATACAAGACTCTGGGGAAATAAAATCATGTAACCCAACAACAAATACAAAGTTTCTATTCAGGTACAAGGAAACTTCGGCGTTATAACCGTAGAACATTGAGTGAAGAAATGTTATAAGAATTACATCTCAAAATAGATGAAATGATAAAATTAAAAGTAATAAGTAAATTCATTAATGCAAATTGCACCTCATCAATAGTAATGGTTCGGAATAAAACAGGTCAATGGAGAGTAACGATAGATTATCGGTATTTAAATAAATTTATACTAGATGATTTATATGAGATCCTACATATGAAACACATATCTCAAACGTTTCATGGAACAAAATGGTTTTCAAAAATAGACCTCAAAAATGGATTTTGGAATATCGTATTGGAGGAAAATAGTAATCCATATACTAGATTTATAGTTCCTAAGAGGGGAACATTTGTATATAACGTATTGTCATTTGGACTGAAAACAAGTCCTACACAATTTCAAAGAATAATAGAAGATATTTTTATGCAATTAATTCAAGAGAATTATGTAGTTGTGTACATTTATGATATCATCATTCTTACAAAAACACTATTTGAACGTGTAGAAGTATTAAAATAGGTATTTGAATTACTCTGTAATAATAATTTAAGAATAAATACAGAAAAGTGTGAACTTTTTAAAACATCTATAACTTATCTTGGCCAAGAGATAGACAGAAATGGTATAAGACCATCATTAGATAAGGTGAAAACAATTATTGAAGCAGAACAACCTAAGTCTAAAAAGCAATTAAGATAATTCTTAGAAGCTGCTAATTATTATAGAAATTATATTAAGAACTTTTCAGAGTGGACTTCTAAACTTGTTCCATTGTTAACTAAGAAACAGAAATTTAAATGGAAAGAAAAGCATTCAAAGACTTTGGAGCAAATCAAGAATAAAGTAACGGAAATTAATTATCTTTCATTCCCAGAATTAGGAAAACCCTATACTATTTATACTGACACATCAGATTATGCTATAGGAGCAGTATTGACTCAAATTGATAAGAACACAGGTCAAACTAGATTCATTCATTACACATCGAAGAAATTAAATGAAGTACAACAAAGATGGAGTACGGTTGAAAAAGAATCATTTGCTATAGTAGTAGCATGTGAAACATTTAATTATTATATTAAAGGATCTAAGACATTAATTAAAATAGATTGTAAAGGTATTATTGGAATGGATTCAATTAATATTGGAAAATTATATCGATGGAAGTTAAGACTATCTGAATTAAACTTAGAATTTGAACATATTGAAGGAGTTCAAAATAGTTTAGATGATTGGATCACTAGATCAATAGAAGATGAAACAGATCTTCCTAATTACATGACCTTATATTGTAGTAAACCTCAAGGAGTATATGAAGATTTATACATCATACCATCTTGCGAGGAAATAGCAAATGAAGCAAAAAAAGTTAAAGATAACTTGCCAAGAGACGTAGTATGGAAGGATAATTTCCCAGTTCTCTATAGAACAGGAAGATGATATATATCAGAAAAATATAGAAATCATTTAGTGTATTGGTTTCATAGTAGTAAATTAGCAGGACATTGTAGAGTAAATAAAACACTAAAGAAAATACAAAAACATTTTTGGTAGCCCAATATTAGTAAAGATACTGAAGAATACGTCACAAATTATCTTATTTGTCAAGTAATACGTAAACGGAAATTTAAACCTAATAATAACCAAGCTTTATCAAAACCGAATGTATTTGATATGGTTTCATTAGATATTATAGGACCTGAAACATGGAAAGGTACAGAATACTGTATACAAGTAGCAATGTATTATCATTTATGTTTTATGATAACTAATATAACTAATAAAACACCTAATGCTATGGACGCAATTAACATTATAAAGAAAACATGGATACCCATATTTGGATGCCCTAGAAGCATTTTAACAGATCGCGGTTCAATTTATACTAGTCAAGAATTTCATGACTATGTTACAAAAGAATTACAGGTTAAATTGTATCATACCAGCGCATATTATCCACAAGGAAATGGTATAAATGAAAGCTCTCACTATAGTTAAATCATATCATTAAGACTTTATATGAGGAAAAAGGTCTACCTTTTGAAGAAATAATACAAAATGCAGTATTAATATATAATGATACACCTCACGGAGCTATAGGAGAACTCCCTGTTTTGCTATGTTTGGAATAGATTGTATCTGTCCAGGATTTGCAAAATTAGTATCAGAAACAACTTCTGAAATGAGAATTATATACTTAAACGATCGATGGAAAAACTTACATGAAAATGTTAATGAAATCAAAAGAAAACCTATAATTGAAAATAAAATTATTAAGGTTGGAGATATTATCTCATACTAATTATCGGAATACGAAAGGAATCAAATGAAACACTATAGTGGGAATATACAATATAAACCGTACTCGTCATTTCCTCACAGAATAACGAATGTTGAAAGCGGAATTTTAAAAGCATTACCTATATATTATAGAGGTAAAGTACAAATTCCAAAGTCAAAAATAAAATTGTTAAGTAACAAAACCACGGAATATGCGAAAAGAAATTGCAGAATTTAATACAAGTTACGAATAAAAATAAAAGGAAATTAAATCTGACGCATGATTTAAAGTCTAAGGATTACCTAGATATTCATAAACGGAATAGAATCATAACGTGTGATATCAACGATAATCAGGACAAACAAATTGAAAAAGGAGAACAAAAAGGACTTGATGTAATAAAACAATACAAAAATAACAAACATTAAGTAATAACCATTATTTTCCCATGGTGGTGGAGTATGGTTAATAAAAGGCTTGATTAACCTTTTTGGAAATAAAAAGGAGTAGCTATATGAAGAATGCGTAGTTGGTTGTGCACACGCGAAAAAAAAAAAAAAAAAAAAAAAATTAGTAAATTTTTTTTTGGTATTTTTCTTTTAATAAATGGAGATGCACAAAAAAAAAAAAAATATATATTATTTTTTTTTAAAGAGTTAATTGGTGAAAGAAAATTGGTAAAATAAAAATCTAGAGTATGATTTATTGCCAATAAAAATGAGATCTTAAACACATAAAAACAGTTACATAAAAAAGTTTAATTTGCATAATATTTATATTTTTAATTTGTGAGAGAAAATTTTATACATATGATAATAAAATTTTCACGTAATTAATATTCATATAATTAATTTGCATTTTTACTAATTGTTTATGTTTGTTAATTCAACAGCAATATATTTAAATTGCAGAATATAACTTATAACAAAGAAATAAATAAATTACAATTAAATAATAAATAATATTCAATAAGGATTTAAATTTTTAATAAAAATAAGGATTTTAATTAAAGTAAATAAATTCCTATTAAAATCAAAGAATGCTAAATGAAGTATAGCATATAGTTAAGAATCAGTCGTTCAATGCATATAAAAGTATATGTAAATACGCCATAATCGTATAGGCAACTCTACATGCTCTTTATTAATTTGTTTGTTCAGTACTCTAGCAAAGTTATTGAACACCCAGTTAAAAAAACAGCTGCAAACATAATATAACAATTAAAAATAAAAATTAATTAATAAATTTACCTATATTGATATACAATAATATTTATAAATAGTTGATGAAATATTCTCCTAAATTTCACGTTTACATATATAACATATGTTGTTACATTTACTTTCTTAATTACTATGCTTAAAAAGTCAAATAATATTATTTATTAGTCAATTTATTTTTAATTCATAGGAAGTAATGTGTGATAATCCAATAGTAGAAAATATTTTTCATGTTCTGTGATATTTTTTTCATTTAATTAATTATCCTTATAATTATATCATACATATTCAATCAATCCACAAAATATAAAAAGGTAAATATATTTTTATCTCTACATATATAGAACACATTTATTTAACATTTCAATGGAATATAACAGTAAAATTAATAAGCCTTCATTCGTATAGTTATCTTTTTCATTTCTATTTTTATCTATATGATCGGTAATGCTTTTAGCAACCTTTTTAATAAATAATAAATTATCCTGCAATAAGGTAATATCAGAATCTGTGTCACCAAAAAAAATGTTTGAATTATGTATTATTCCACTAAGTATACTAAAAAATTTTGCATTTAACTTAATATATTGCAACATTTTTTTTTGATAATGTATTTCTGTTATAATTCTATCTAGTCTTTTCTTTGATATAGCTGCATATGAACTTCTTAAGCTTTTCATATTTGTTGAGTTATATAAAAGTTTTAGTGATATTTGTAATTTACTTAATATACGCATTAAAAAAAAAATATGTTCATATTTTGCTGCTTTTATAATTTTAGAATAAATTTCCATTGCATTCCTAGCGTTTTTTTCATCATCTAATAAAGATTGTAGCCATTTAGAACTTTCATTTATTTCGTCATCATTCATATTAAAGTGATTATTGGCTCTAGCATGGCACTCTAAGATATATTTCTTTTCATATGATAATATACTTAAAATATCATTTTTAAGATGTTTTTCATATAATTCATTTGTTGTATGATTAAACTCATCTTCATTTTTCTTATTTGTATTATATAAGAAATGAAAAATTGTTGTGAATATTTTCCCATTATCATTATACGATAAATTAAAGAACTCTAAATTCATTAAAAGAGATTTTAATAGTCTATACAATCTACCCAAAGATTTATTAGCGGAAAATATAAGAATCCTATGTTTTTTAATCAGTTGTTCATTTAAAAAATATTTTCCTTCCATAAATGATTTTTCAGAAGTATCTAATAAATTATCTAAATTATTAAATAACTTTATAAAGGTTTTTGATTTATCATTAGGTAAAAGTAACAATATACCATGAGTTAACATTGAAAACACGTTAGTCTTGATTAATTGTTTTACTTTTGTTTCTAATGTCTTAAAGCTTCTAATACTTGCTGATACACTATTTAATTTAGGAAGAAACATTTTTATTTTCATACGTATATAAAATTCATCAGGAACAGAACATTTGACTAAATTTCTGTTATATTTAATTTTTTGCAAGACTTCTTCTAAAATTTTATCTGGTGATAAACTCAAAATATCATTACGAAATTTTAATTTGTTTAAAATGCTTCTATCGACATTTTTTGATATTTTTATTATAAAATTTTTTAACTCTTCAATTTTTAAATTATAATCTTTTATTAATTTAGTTTTATTTTCTTCTAATGTTAAATGTATATTATTCAAACTGTTAGCTATAGGTATGATTGTTCTATAATCCATTTTAAAAACTTCTTTTGAGCAGAATAAAGTAAAATTTCTTATTGGTAATCTTTCCATATGGATATCTTTGAATGAAGAAAAACTTGAACTTTTTGATTTATCCATGTTACTTTTTTCTGTATCCTTTGATTTACATGGACGTTTTCTATAAGGTTTAATACTATTATCATCATCATCTAAATTGCTATTACCATCTGTTTCATTGTCTACGGCAAACCTAAAAAAAAGAAATATTATTTTTATTTATATTTATTATTCAAAATAAAAGTATCTGTATGCTATAATATTCAAATAATTACTTTTTATTTAGGTAATTGACAATTTTATTATCTAAAAATGTATGAACATCATATATTTCAATATCCATACATTTTAAATTATGAGTTATACTGAATAATTTAGCACAGACATCTTGTAAATATGACATACTATATTGTAAATCAGAAGATTCACTTTGTAAATTAGAAGATTCACTTTGTAAATTAGAAGATTCACTTTGTAAATTAGAAGATTCACTTTGCAAATTAGAAGATTCATTTTGTAAATTAGAAGATTCATTTTGTAAATTAGAAGATTTATTTTGTAAATTAGAAGATTCATTTTGCAAATTAGAAGATTCATTTTGTAAATTAGAAGATTCATTTTGTAAATTAGAAGATTCATTTTGTAAATTAGAAGATTCATTTTGTAAATTACAAGATTCGTTTTGTAAATTAGAGGAATTACTTCTTAATCTAGGAACTGTATTTTGTGAATTAGATGTATTCCTTCTCAATCTAAGTGAAGTACGGTTTAATCTTGAGGTTCTACGTCTTACTCTTGTAGTAACGTTTTTCTGTGAATTAGAATTATTATTTCTCGACGTTTGGGATGTATCTTCTAAATTATCGTCACTATCATCCACGTTTGCAGTTATTTCTTCTAAATTATCGTCACTATCATCCACGTTTGGAGCTATTTCTTCTAAATTATCGTTACAATCATCCACGTTTGGAGTTATTTCTTCTAAATTAGAGATATTATCTTGCACAATAGGATTAGTCTCTTGTAAATTATGAGTATTATTTATTGTTTGAGCGGATATATTTTGTGTATAGGGTGTAATCCTTTGTAAATTAGATAATATATGTTGTAACATAGATACAATATCTTCTAACTTATGGGAAGCACACCGTATACCAGTAGTATTCTGAGAATTATAGGCATTATGTTGTAAATTACATGTATCATATTGTAAATTAAAAGGTTCATTTTGTAAGTTAGAAGTGTGGTTTTGCATATTAAACCAAGTATTGCCTATACCAAAGTGAGTTTGAAAGTTAGATGAATAGTCTGATTGAAAAGTTTGTTGTATGTTAGATGTTAAATTTTGTAAATAACAGGAAGTATCTTGTGCATTAATAACACTATTCAGAGATTCATAAATGGGATATTGTAAATTTAAAGTTGTATTTTGTAAATTAGAGGTAGAACTTGAATTAGGGAAAATGTTTTCCATTCTAGATGTATCATTTCTCATTAGAGAACTAATATATTGAGAATTGGAAGTTGTATTTCCTAAATTATGGGTATTATTTACACTGCTAAGAGTATTTTGTTGCAAAATAGAGTTATTATGAATGCTATGAAATTCTCTTTGTGAATTAGAGGCATTATTTTGAAGACTAGAACTGGCGTAATTTAAACCCAAAGCATTATTTTCTAAGTTTGGAGCAGTATGTCGCAAATCAAGATTGGTATTTATTAAATTAAATGAACTGTTTGTTGATTCAGAATTAGTACACTTCAAATAGGAAGTATTTTGTAATTTACATATTCTACTTTGCGATTCACTAGTACTCTTATGTAAGTTTTTCATAATACATTGTAATTCGCTAGTAGTATTTTGTAATTCAGAGATGCTATTTTGCAAAGCAGACATCTTGTCTTGCAATGTGTTGTCATTAGGTTGTAAATTCAAACATTCACTTCTTAAAACAGGGCTTTCATTATATAAACATTGATAAGTATGCTTCAAAATATCGATACTACTTTTTATATAGAAATTTATACTTCTAACACACATATTAGCATTCCCTAAAAACATTTCTATATTCTTTGAGTCATTACTAGTATTTTGTAAATCAAAATTCCTATTCTGAGAAGTAGTTGTATTACTGTTTGAAGTAGAAATATTGTTTCTTATATTAGAGTTATCTTCTGAAACTCTTAAAGTATTTTCTGGGCCAGAATTAATACTTTCCATATGAGTTGATAGATCTTCTAAACTTTCAGGTGTTATATTTGAACTCACTGATGGATTTTCTAAATTAACATACAATTCATCTAACAAAATTTTTTCTACTAAATCATCTGGAATATCATCTTCATTTTCAAGGAAACTTCTAAAAATTAAAAGAAATATATGCATGCATAAAATTGATAATCAGTATAAAAAATAAAAATTTGTTATATATTATCTACTTTTCTACAGAGAATTCTTTGTCACTATTTGGTTCCTGTGAAATGCTTATTTGTATTAATACGAAAATTTGAAAAATAAAAATATATAAAATAAAATTTAGCATTTTTTTAATGTTGTAATATATATTTCTTTCAAAAATTAAACATGAGAGTAAATATAATAGATTTATTAGGTATACAATCTATTTAATCTATTTAATCTTAGTATTATTTTTCGATAATTTTTATATTATTTTCTTAACAAAACTTTGTGTTTTTAGATCTTTAGATAAAATGAAAAATAAATAACGTTAATATATTACATATATTTCTTATTTAACACTATCATTTTTTTAACTGCATACAAATTATTAGTTGTTTTTAACTACAAAAAAAGAATTATTTTATTTTTAAAATTTCTATAAAGTTAAATGTTGAATTTTTTTTGTTATATTTTTAAATTGCATAAATTATTAAATATTTAAAAAATAAAAAAAAGTTTTTAATTAATATCCTTTGTTATTGTATGCCTTTACATGTGAAAAATTAACTAAGAACCTTATAGGGAATAAGTATTAACTAAAAAAATATTTTTATCAAATATTAAATGTTTCTTCTTTTTTTTTTATGATGCATGTTTTTAATATTAATTAAATAACTTTTTTTAATTAAATTAAAAATATTTTAATCTATATTTATATTTTTTATTTAATACTTTTACCATATTTGTATTTGGATAAATTACTTTTTAGTTATTTGGCATAAGTATAGAAATTCTCTCCTATAAAAATAAATAGGAAAAAAAAGAGCTATGTATTCATATATACCCAAGATGTCTATGATAATAACAGATCCTTTCATATAGCATGCAGGAATATTTTTTATATGATTCATAAGAAATTTAGAATTTTAATGTTCAAAAAGTTATTTCATATAGAAATGATATTTTGCTACGTATAACAATAATATAACAAAGAAAATCACTGCTTTCACTCTACTTTTCTTTAATATAAATAGTTATTTTTTTTTATATATATACGTTCATATACAATACCACTGTTATATTCATAATGGTTTTTTAAATATATTCATAAATAGAATATTTTAAAATAAAAAAGATAAAAAGGAATAGTAAATAATTATGTTAGTGAAGATAATGTAATAAAAATAATTTGTTTTATTGAAAACTAAAGTAAAAAATTAATTATTAAGATTTTTAGAGTAGCATCTGCTTAATTCAAAATGTAAAATATGTTGTGAAAACAAATGTTCATTCAAAATATTAAATTTTGAAAAAATAAAAATGATGATACGTTTATTGGATATTTTGCTATTTTTTTTTATGACTATTTTATTTTTTTTCCTTTAAACATATTTTTATTTATAACTTGTTGAAATGCAGATTTGTCAGTCACACTTCCTAAATGGAATTGTTAACATTTTTATGAAGAAAAAGAAGTAAAATAATAATATATAAATGAAAATAACAATTCATATGATTCGTATTGATAAACAAATTTGAAATGTTATGTTCAAACAAAAATTAAATATTTTGAAAAAAACCCATAATCTATAAATTAACATTTGGAGTACCTTAATATTACCTCTTTTGAATTTACTACTAATGTAAAAGAAATAAAAATTAAAAACTATATTAATGAAATAAAAAAGTTAAAATCTATAAAAAAATACAAATTTATTTAATAACATTATATTGTCAAAACATGTTTCATTTTAGGAAGATACAAAAAAAAGTCTCTAAATTTATTTTTGATACTTATAATTTATCCTAGCATTCTAAAGATTTTAATACTTTTTTATAAAATATATTATTTAAAATTATTAAGTAAGTAAAATTTAATTATTTTTGTTTTGAAGAATTTCTCACTTAAATTTTCAAAAAAAAAGGGTTATTCTTGAAACTAAGAATCAGAATATAAATTTTTTCTATGGATTTAAAGATATAATCAAAATGAAAACATTTTTACAGTATTTTTTTTTAATATTTTATTGGCCTTTCAATTCACATAAAATTTTATTATTTTTATTTTTACCAATTTATTTTAAAAAAAATTAATAGTATTAATATACATAAAAATAAGGATACAATATTAATATATTTTTGAAAAAATTATAAAATAAATTACACCAAAAAGAAAAACATAAATAACTTATTGGTATATGTGCTTCGAAGTATAACCTGCATATTTTTCTAAATGAGATCTCTTTTATTTAAAATATATTTCATTTAAATGTATTTTACAAACAAAAAAAAAAAAAAAAAAAAAAAAAAAAAAAATGAAATCCTTAACATTTATTTTATTTTCACATATTTTTTCCTATTTCTTTCGATATATGAATTAACGCTTGAAAATGTATATGGGAAAAGAAAAGTAAATTTAATGATGAATATTATTAATATGTCATAAATAATTAAATATAGGAGTGCAATATTTTTATTAGATATATTAACTTTTGTTTATTTCGTACGTTTTAATTTTGTATTATATTGATTTTCTATACTTAAACATAATAATATGGTAATAAATAATGCATCCACCTTGAATCTGGAGTAATATAAAAGTTCTAAGGTTCCAGCTTAATTAAACATTAAGATAGGGAGGAATAATAATGTTTTTTACATCTGATAATTTTTCCTATTAGTAGAAATTTAACTGAATTAAAAAATAAATGAACTTGAATTTTTTGAAAGATATAATTAAATTCAAAAGACTTAATAATTCACAATTTAAAATAAAGTAAAATAATGAATTTTTATACTTCTAATGTACAATAAAGGTTAAAAGAAAAATATAAAAACATTATTTTTATTGTTTTATTAACTTCAAATCACATGATACATTCTGAAATTATTTTTAGTTATTTTATTAATTGGTTTATCAACTATTTTTACAGATAGTTGAACAAAAAAATTAGTGGAGAACATTTAGAATTATCTCTTAAAATTTTAGTTGTTTCAAAATTTATGTTGATACTACAAAAAAGCAAACCTTATATATATAACTTATACAATTGGAATTTATTTACTTTAGTAAAAATCATCTTTATTTTTCTTAAAAAACTTAAATCCTAGTTAAAACTATTAATAATATGTAAAATGTTCTTTTGATATTAGTTAACAAATTTAAACTAAGGATATTAACATTAGTTAAAAAAAAAAGGAAAAAAAATTAAACATTATAAAAAAATAAAATCCTTTTTACTTTCTTTTAATTACGAATTTATTTTTATTTTGCTTAAAAATTAATTCGATTTACAAAAACGCATTGCTATTCAATTCATCTTTTCAAAGAAAAAAAAATAAATATAAAAATTAAAAGTATATTAAACAAAACAATTTATAAAAATAAAAAGTAATAATTTTTTTAATTAGAGAATGTGAACAACTGTCTTTCTATTTTCTTATAAGTTACTACCTATTATTTTATAAAGTATTATTAATATTTTTTATTAGTCAGTTGTTGAAAATTTAGGATATTTGAATATATGTTGACTATTAACTATTCAAAATAAATTAAGGAAATGACTATTATGAAGGTGTTAATTAACATATTTAAGCTCAAACAAAGTTATTTAGTTTTTTAATAACAAGGAAAATAAAGAAAACTTTTCATTGATTAAATTTTATAAAAAAGGTAAAATTTCAATGTTTCAAAATAAAAAAATCATTTTCTTAGAATCATATGATATATTTTTAGTGTTTTCTTGTTATTACATAAAAGGTTATCACATGTCAACTTTTGTAATAATTTCAGAACATGCAATAAATATTCTATTTAAAGCGAAATGTCTTAAAACCTAATTAAGAAAAGATTTTTATAATGTTGTATTATGAAAAACTTTATGAAAACAGCTACTATTACTTATGGAAAAACATTCATGCAAATAATCTCTATGTGATTCATTATAAGTTTTACATGGACTCAGAAATAGAAAAAAATTTTAAAATTTAATTAGTTTAAATTTATATAATCACATTTTAGGACTTTCATTAAAAAAAAAATTTTTAATGAATGGGATAGAATCTTATAAATGTAAATATTATTATTTAATACTTTTATTATTTAAAATGTAAATGTTTCCTTACTAAATTCCCTATTTATTCAAAATTTTGGCGTAATTTAATCAAACAAAATATATTTATTAAATACTTTTTACTTTACCTATAATTTCTCCATTGAATTATGATTTGTTAATTGGTCATAAAAAGACATTTAAAATCTTTTGAAAGGTCAGATTAGTGGATAATATGTAGAGATATTTTTACATAAATTATTTATTATAATATTAATTGACACTAATAATAATTAATTAATCATATATTCTACTTTTTATTTTAACATAAAATTTTATTATATTTATATAACTTATTAAATAATACAAACATTATTATTTATTTTAATATTAAGATAATATACATGTTATATTATAAACATATATAATACCATGCATTTTTCCTAAACTCTATGTCAAGTATTAGTCAAAGGGAAGGTTATTTTTCTTCAAAAAAAAATTTCATTATATATTTTTTTCAATAATAAAAAAAATAAAATAAAATTTATTATTGACGATATAATAAATAAAAATTACCATCTAACATTTTAAAATTTTAATATAATGAAAAAGTATAAGTATAAGTGTTATTATTTGCATGTAAGATATATGAAGATTTGTATATAAAAATATTCATAGCAACATTTTTTATGTAAAGATAGTTATTATTATTATTGTTTAAAGATCCATATTTTTAAATGAGTATTTAAAGTTGATGTTACAAGAAATACCTAATAATAAAAAATTTATATAAAAAACTGTTCGAATTAACTTTCATTTTTAAAAAAAAATTATTTTTTTTTAAAAAAATTTTCAGAAAGATTTTTTATTTTTTAAAAGAAAAAAGATTATGATTTTTTCATTTAATTAAAGCTAGCATTTTTTCAATAATATGCGTTGAAACCTATAATTAAAAAATAAGATATAAAATGAATTTGTTTATTTTATTATATATGGAAAATTATATAGAAGATTTATAATTTTTTATGTAATACTTTTATAATAATTAATTTGGTAAAGATTTCTCTACTGTCTTTTTATTAATATAACT